ACAAATAGTTTGCTCGAGCGTAAAATTCAAGCTCCCAGAAGTTTCTTATTTTTGCAGACCGCTCGAGCAAGAACCTGAGTCTTACGCTCAAGCGAGCGTTGAGCGAGCATTGAGCGAAAAAAATCAAGTAACCAGTACTTTTACAGAGTTTACAGACCGCTCGAGCGACCGAAGTTACACTCGAGCGACCACTTACATTTTTGCACGCCCACTCGAGCGAAATAAGTTGCGCTTGAGCGAGATCCCTGTTTTCAGCAAGTTTTGTTAAGTGTTTTTAAGAGCATTTTCGCATCCTCATTGCATCTTAGGCACTCCTAGGCTAAGATTAAGACATAATAAAGATGATAAGAAGTAGAAACACACCAAGATAATAATGATTTAAGTTAATGATTCCGAGTGTGTAATTCAGTACATATTCATTCAGTAACTGTGTAGGTCACGTGCCACAAGATATCTGATTTTCTTACTCTATCTGTTTGCTTTCGGAGCCATCTGTGAGTAACAACTTAGTAAAGCGATGTTCAACTTTATTTATTTTCTGTATATAGAGTAAGATCTATTTTATAACATGTCATATATATTCTGTACAATAAATGATTATCCAATTTTTGACAAGTATTCGCGGCAACAATTTTGTGGCTCAAGTAAGTTATCTGTTCCCGGTCCGGAAGTTCCTTTATGAAACTGACAAGTTATCCGTACCCGATCAAAGGTTCCTTTATGGAACTGACAAGTTATTGTACCCTGCCGGAAGTTCTTATATGGAACTGACAAATATGACCCTTGATGTCCTATATGTGATCTATTAGCGCTAACGGGTGTACTATGTAAGATTAAGCATGAACTCTGATTTCTATTTATGACTTGAACAAGAACGTGCATATGAATCTGCTTCTGTTACTGAATTAGTTATGGGACATCATTTTTTTAACCCTGTACTCTGTTATTATTCACTAGGTTCCCGCTCACTGTTTATATTATGTATGTAGGTGAGCAAGCGTGTGACCAGGTTTAAGCTGTTGTCTGGAGAGTTCGGTCAGCCAGCCACTACGCCTCCTGGGGAGATTTCCTTTTAGAAGTCAAGTTTTCGTGGTTCAAGCTTTTAAGACTTGTTTTCTTTTTGGTATAATACGTTGGGCTAAGTTCCACTTTTGTTTCATTTATCTATGGGAATGATGTATGACTAATGTCCTTTTATGATGTCACAAGTGTGTTTATAAAGTTTAAAATTATTTGTCTCATATATGTCTGCACAGCTTGATAGACTATGTAAGTTTTATATATTTGCTTCCGTAGCCCCTTACATTTTGTAATTCTGTTCAGATGCCTTTGGTAATCCAAAGATTACTGGCCGGTTACGATGCTAAACCCTTAGGGACGGTTTTAGGTCGTGACAACTAAAACCTTAATTTTCTTAACCAACCATCAAATTATGTATTTTGTTAAATTATTAGTTAAATCCCAAGGCTGTATACAAACAAACATGTCCTCAAAGGACAATCAAGCTTTCATGAAGAAAGAAAAAAACAAATTTATGTGCATAGAATTGTTGCACAAAAAATGAACCAGAAAAAGAATATACGGTTAGGATTCAATCCATGTATAAACATGAAAGTTTCCACACAAGTATTAGAGATCTTAAAAAAATTGTATTGGAATATTGTGTATAATTTTTAGTAGTGTCTTTGGAGTTCTTAACATTGTTATGCCAATACTATTTTTATAAATCCAACTCGTTTTTATAGATATGTTTCATTTTAAAGCGAAAGATTCACTTTAAGCCACATAATTCTTGTTTGTTTGTTTTTTTTTTTTTTTTTTTTTTTTTTTTTTTTTTTTTTTTTTTTTTTTTTTAATTCGTGGTTTGGTCCTAATTTGGAAAATTAAAGAACTGATCTCTGCAGATTGGTTTCAGATTTAGGTCCAGGGTTCCGGATTTGAATCAAACCGGACGGTATAACTTAAGCCATATATGTTTATTTACTAGATATTATATTTGTTTTAAGTTAATGGTAGAACAATGTGCATGTCTTTGTTTTGAAAGTTTATGTTTCAAAAAATCATAATAAATTAATGTTGAACAATGTCCGTTTAATGTTATGTTGTTGCTTAACTAATAATATTATAAGAATAGCTTGTTTGATGGACATATTATTATTATTTTTAAAATTTATAATAAGTTGAGTTTTTTTAAAAATGTTATATGATTTTTCATGTGAATAGATTATGTGAAATCATAATTCTAAACCGAACTGAACCATGTTTGAATGATTTGGTTCAGATTGGTTCCATGATTTTAATGGTTTGATTTGGTTCTAATTTTTACGAAATAGTAAACAGTAAATTGGTCCTGGTTTCATCTCAAATTGGACCGTGCTCACTCTTATAAATTTCTGAAGGAATTTTAGTCTCTTTAGGGCATGTTTGATTGGGCGGATTAGAGTATGAAATTAGGATTATTAATCCGTGGGTCCAATTATCCTATATTTGTTTTAATATTTTGGTTTAGGATTATTAATCCAATGGATAATTAATCCAACAAATTTGTAGGATTATTAGTAATGGGGTAGGGGTGGAATTATTAATCCAATGGATATTAATCCAATTGGATAGTGAATACTACACTAATTTAATAGGATTATCAATACTTCACTATTAATCTTGTGAATCAAACATGACCTTTTAAACAATCATAAAGAAATAGTTTTATTTTTAGTTTTGAATATTATGAAAAATCAATTTGGAATAATCAAATGGGTGATCAGTGAAATGAACAATAGGTCACTTATATACATTGAAAGAGACGATTTTTTTATTGTATTGATAATAGTAATATTATTATAAAAAGCTTTCAAAGCATAAAAGATTATATTAAAAACTTTTGTAAAGAGTATTTAAGTTTTTATTCCCAAAATCATCTAAAATATTTAATATTATCTTTTTACTATTGATTACAAGAAGAAAAAAAAAATGAACATTGAAAGCAATGGATGCCTGCTAAACCAATTTTCCAGTCCTGTGGTTCAAATCTTAATATAAAAATATATTTTTTATGCTATGTAATTGTTAATGTGTTATTTTTGGATCAAGAAGTGTTATTGTGACTAAGTCACAACAGCGTGCCGTTGTGCTCCCGTGAGGGGTTTTTTTGTGTTTTTTTTTATAATTCAAACTATTTATATTATAGAGTTTGTTAAGTAAATTATTTATGCAAAAAATTAAATTGATTGGACACCTATAACTCAGTAACAAAAACATATTTATTTTTCAAAAACTAAACGGTTGATATGATCTTAATAATTTTTTTAAAACATTTAGAATCTAATCATAGAGTTGCGAATTTCTAATTAACTTAATTTTTTGTATAAATGATATACTCGATAAACCTTAAAATATAAATAATTTGAATTATCAAAAAAATATTTAGAAAAAGTCACCCCGAATCCGTTATTTTCTGTCTAAAAGAAATTAGTTGTAAGAGTAAATTAAAAAAAATTTAAAACATAAAGTGTGAAAAATAAATTTTAAAGGTCAAAATGTAATTTATTGTAATTTTTTAAATAACTTTCTGCCCTGAGTTAAAACGATCACGTTTTGACTTTTTTTTCTTTTTTTTTCCGAAACAAGGATAGTATAGGGGAAAAAAAAAAAATGGAATCAACGTAGTAAAACGATATCGTTTGACATTTTTTTTTTCTTTTTATTTTAAACACAAGCACCACATTATTATTATTTTTTTAAAAAAAAAAAAAATCAAAAGTACCCTTACACTTTTAACATAACTGTACCTCTCTAAAAGTTTTAACTTATATATTTTCCTTCAATAATTTATTAATTATATGAATAAAAAATAATATTATTATATTTTTTTTTACTAAAATTTATATTTATCTTTATTTATTTCAGAGTGTGTTGCCAAATTTTGATTAAATTTCAATCGCTTATACTAACAGAATAGTAGTGTAGTTATGTCAAAAAGTGTTAGCATATTATTTTATTCAAAGTTTAACGGAGATGAGTTACAAATACCATTATATTATGATTAATAATTAGAGATCATAGGGGAGAGAGTGTCTTAATTTATTGTAATTGATTGTCACGTCAATAGATTTTGTTATTTTTTGTGATTGTTTTAAAGACAAGTTTGCGAGATACGATATTAAGGCCAAGTTTGGAAAGACTAAATAAGTGTACTTTTTGACTTTTTATGAAATATGGGTTGGATTTGAGTTGGGTTTGAAGTGATGTGTTAGAGAGGTGATGTGATGTGACTTAAATAGGATAGTGACTTTTTGACTTTTTAGATTTCTTTGAGGATGCCAAACTTGACCTAAATGTCATAAAAAATACAAGTGAAATCCTTTTTATCATCAATTAATTTTAGCAAAGAGAGTAGGATTTGATCTCAGAGATTGAAGAAGTGAGTTTAATTTTTAAACTTAAATAGTAATGTTAAAAAAAAGAAGAAAAAATAAAGGGGGATGCACCAATAAATCCCAAATTAATAACTTATGCACTGTTTAGTCCTAAAAGTTTTCTTATAGACTGAAAGGTCTCATTACAATGTTAATAACATCAGATACAATGTTAATAACATCAGAGTCATGTTACAAACATTGGATTTCAAACATCTAATGTTCATCAAATTTCAATAATGTTTGAAAATATAGGATGAAAAACATCTAATGTTCATCAAATTTCAATAAATTTTGAAATTATAGAATGAAACATCAGATCATTTACATCATTCACATCATGTTGATTTAAAAATGGGACTAAATGGAGCATAAGAAAACTTTTAGGACTAAATGGTTCAACGTTTCAAAAACTAGGACTTATGGGTAAATTTTCCAAAAATAAATTGTTATCCTTCTAATTTATCAATTTTAAATCACTCCTAATAATTTAAAATTGATGTTAGACCACAGATCATATTACAAATTGTTTGACAAATAAACACGTCAGATATGTGGTAAGGTGGGTGTTTCCAACATTTTTCTTAAAAAGAAGGATAAAATAGTCTACAGACCGACATGGGTATGAAATTTCATTGCATCTTCCTCCGAACTGACTATTATATAAAGCTAAAGCGCTTCAGTTTGCAATTTGTGAGTTTGTTGGAAATGAGACCATTAAAATCAGTTGTTGAACTCCCTCCTCCGGTTATGGCTCCGCCGCCGCCTGAATCAGTAGTTGAAGTTCCTCCTGAATTGCCGATGCTAGTCGCAGAGTTCTGCTTGACAGCCGCTTTTGAAATCGCCATCCGATCGAACCAGACTCCTACACAATACTACTCTATAACATTCCACTTGGTGTGTCTGGTAATGGTGTTTGCGTTTGCTTTTATCTTTGTTGCCAAATACATTTCTTCCAAGCACCCGAACCCAGGCCGCGTGCTCGAGCACGCTGGAGTAGTCTGTGGAGTTACCGCTTTCTTTGTTGCCATCACAGTCTCTTTCCCGCTCTGCCTCAAGGTCATTTCCTGGATCGTATATGCTCTTTCATTACTAGCAATTTTCGTCTGCAATTGCTGAATCCTAGCAGACGATTGTCACTGTCAGTCAGGTTGCTTTTTATGAAAATTAATAAGGGGCTAGTAGTACTTAAAACTTGCATAGATAGGATTTGGGTAAAAAGTGGTTTTGTTTATTGGAATTACTTCCATCAATTGTTAGTATAGTTTCACTTTTATCATTATGCGCATTGATAGTGAAGGTGTAAGGGCTAGCATATGATTGAATTGCGCAGGAATTCCCATTTGCAAAATTTTCAGGATTTGGAATCTCAAATTCAATTGTTCACTTTTTCTTTTCAACTCATTGTATGATAATTTGTGAAAACTAAGAGATTGCATAGACTGTCCACTAGAAATGTGCATTATTTGATCCCAAAAATGATGTTATTAATGCAATTTAGTGATGGGAAACAAATAGTGAATATTTTCGTTACTTAGGTTATGTAACGCCCCCAAATTATTACAATAAATCCAATTCTTATAACAGAATGTTAATGGAAATATTATGCTTTCATTCATCAGAGTTTGCATTACAAAAGATAACACAGGCAATATATATTGATAAATGTACATCCTGAATTTATAGCATGTAATACCAATTAATGATAAACAAAACAAATGCCCTACGGACTTATTACAACAAAAAGAGTCATAAGCTCTGTACATATAAAGCCTTAGGCTTAGACGAACATTAAATACAAATAACACAAAAAGAGCCCGAAGCTCCAAGGTCCTCCCAAGCTACGTCTTTGGAGGAAGCATGTCCTCAGTACCTAAAAATGGTTTTCCAAAGTAGGGTGAGCTAAAACCCAGTAGAAACAATCTAATACAACATATGAGAATTAACAAGATATAAATATGACGCACATATTCATTATCCAATGACAAAATCTTTATAACTCTTTTCCAAAGCCATGTTATACCAAACTCACTTCTCAATTCATTCATTTTGGTTTATTAGATACATCCACTTCATTCGACCCATCAACAGAGGTTACACCTCTCAAGTTTTCAACAGATGAAATCATTATACAAATACATTCACTTCTATTTGCCATTTTACAGAAATTTCGTCCACGGGAATAGGCACTCATGTATACAAATGGTTTTCGAGACTTTCACCCTGAACACACATGCCAACTTAGTTCAATGGAGTCCATCCCCTTTCTTCTCCTCAAAACATGGAGTACATCCCATTTTTCCTCCCAAATATCATACATATAAAATGTATATCATTCATAATCATATACGATGATAATGGTTAAAGGATTAGTTTTAATTCACTTAATCCACATGCAACGTCAACAACAATCATGACTATCCTCCACCAATAGCCTAAAGCAATTATTTCTAAACAGACTTTCAATCTTTATAACAGATAAATCATCAAATTTCTATAGGTGAGTAATTAAGCAAATCCAACAACACCATTCATGCATACATCCTCCCAATTTCACATTTTTCATGCCAATTTCATTATTTATACAAAATAATTATTCAAGATATTTTAGGAAAAAACTCCCTATTTTTCAAATATTAACCCAAAGGCCAAAATCAACTATTTTGACACAGGATAACCTCATAACCATTTATACAACCCTCACATAGAAACCCCTTTTTTCAAACTTTGACCCAAACCCTAGGTTTGTTCAAAACATTCCCAAAGTCTCACCATTTTCATACAACAACCTATAACCAAGTTAAAACCCATATTAAGGTGTAGAGAGTCCCTACCTCAAGTTTGGAAGACCAATGGAGCAAGCATGAAACTCCAACGACGCCGAAAACAAATTTCAATCGGTTCAAAGGGAAACTCCCAAGATGCTCTACCCTTTTTCCAAAGACACTAGGGCGGAGAGATCAACGGATCAATGAGAAAAAGTAGAGAGAGAGAGAGAGTATTTTAGAGAGAGAATGTCTCACTTTAGGGTTTTTAATAGAAAAGATCTGAAAAAGTGATGTAAAAAGTCATTTTCGCGATCTGATATACGCACAGCCCGCTCGACCAGAAGAGTTGACGCTCGAGCGTTAGACACAATAAGTTGTTCCGCTCGAGTGCAAGAAGAGACCCGTTTGAGCGCAGAATACACGCCTCCAATACTTTTGCAGACAACAGACAAACCGCTCGAGTGCAAGAAGGGACGCTTGAGCGCTCACCCACTCGAGCGTAGGAAATGTCGCTCGAGAGTAGAAAACACCCCTTCATTATTTTTGTAAACCCTGCTCGAGTGGAGGTCCAAAATTCTGGGCAACACAAGGTTTGAAAACTAAGTAACCAACCTGTTTCAAACACACTCAACACGTCCAAATAACCAAATTTAAGGAGAAATAACAAGTAAAAGACAATGAACAACACTCAGAAACCATAAGCCCGAGTCCGAACCACCACAAGTGTTGGGTCAAAATTGGGATCGTTATAGGTTAGATTATTAATGAGGATGATGAGGTTGGTGGTGTTGTGATCCATAAAATCAAAGTATATTGGTTCAAGTGGAAGAGTGTGTCCGACATATTGACATATTATGTGATTCATATTAATTTACTTATTTAACTAAGCATATAATCATTGATTGAGCAGAATGGTGAAAACTTATTCATGTACTCGACCACAATTGAATGGGATATAAGGCTTAGCTTTGATTTGGTTTGGTTTATTGATGGGTTAAAAAGCGGCCGCAACCGTTACGTAACACCGTTACGTAACGGTTTTGGCGGTTACCGCCACCCGTTACGGCCGCTTTTGCAGTGTGATTGAGATTCACAGGTGTGTTGGCCGTAGCGGTCGTAACGGTGCCGTAACAGCCGTAACGGCATGTTATGTACCGTTACGTAACGGTTCTAAACTGTTTCTTTCGAAAAAACATACAAAAAAAAGCTGAAAATATGGGAAGAGGGATAGAGAGAAGAGGAAAGATAAAGAGAGAAAATGGTGGAATAAGAGATAGAGAGAGAAGAGTGAAGATGAAGAACATGTTATTGATTTGTTGAAGATGTAAGACCTATGCTATTCTATTCAGCTGCTATCACTCAACCGTTTTATTTGTTGAAGATGTAAGATCTATATATTGTTTGATAATAATAATAATAATAATAATAAGTGTGGTCATTATCTATTTGACTTTGTTAAAATATGTATATATATATATATATATATTTAGGCTCTTATTTATTCTCTTACTTTTGTCATTGTTTATCTTATATATAATAGTTAGTGATTGATTTTTTGTATAATATAAAGTCATTAATTATTAAAATAAAATGTAAAAAACTCAGTTTATAGTGATTTAAAAAGATGAAATATATTGGATCAAACTTAAAAATTTACAAAAATTGATCAATATTTATTTTTAACCCAATAAATAATGAATCAATGGAAAAAAATATGCGTATCGGTAAGTTTTTTCAAATTGTGCGAAAAATAAAAAAATTCACGGTTCCGTTACCGCAACCGTTACACTACGGCCTTTACACCCCGCAACGCAGCAACCGCGTCACCGCCACCGTTTACGGCGACCGCCAACCGCTTTTTTTCAGAACCTTGAGTGTGTCCGACATATTGACATATTATGTGATTCATATTAATTTACTTATTTAACTAAGCATATAATCATTGAATTGAGA